ACACTTCTTTTAGTGTCAGCTCTTGACCCACCTCATCTTCCTCAAAGAGGAAGGATCCGTTTTAAAACCCTCGCTTTGGCGTCAGACTCCAGCTACGGGTCTCCTTTTCCCGTCTTTAAGCTAAACAGCTGATCTGTCAGCTGGTCCTTCATCCTTCTCCTTTATACATAACAACTAACTAAACTACAGAGAAGGAACAATCTGTCACAGATGCCTCCGATCTGTCTCACTATTTACTCCGCAGCTCCGGGACATCTCATCACACCCGCTGTCCCTCTGCAGATAAACGCTACTGAACCGTCATTATCGGTTGAACATGTCAGATTTCCACTGACAGAAAAGAGATCTTCTGTTTTTGTGTTTATTTTTATGTTCGTGAGCTCATCTCCTCTCACGGATCACAGATTCAGTTTCCACAATTCAGTTGATGGTCTAAAAAAGTTGTTTCATTATTTTAGCATAACTCTAGTTTAACTTGGGCTATTAACAGAAATAAAAACTGGTGTGTAGTTTATGTTTATGTATTTAGCAGACGCTTTTGTCCAAAACGACTTACAAGTGATAATCGGCATGTTGCCCTTGAGGCTAACAACAACAACAACAACAACAACTTGACATCAGTCATGGAGAGGAGGGAACAAGGAGTGGACAGTAGAGAGGGGGGACGGGTGCAGACAAGGTGCTAGTTAAGAAGATGCTCTCTGAAGAGCAGGGTCTTCAGGAGTTTCTTGAAAATTGAAAAGGAAGCTCCTGTTCTGGTAGTGTTTGGAAGGTCATTCCACATTTGTGGAACGATGCATGAGAAGAGTCTGGATTGTCCTGAGCGTGGTGTAGGCACTGCTAGCCGACCATCCTGTGATGACCGGAGCGGCCGGGCCGAGACGTAAGCCTTTGCAAGAGGATTCAGGTAGATGGGAGCCGTACCATCTCGGACTTTGTATGCTAGTGTTAGCTATTTGAATTTGATGCGTGCTGCTAGCGGTAGCCAGTGGAGCTCAATGAACAGAGGGGTGACGTGTGCTCTTTTTGGCTGATTGAAGACCAGACGCGCCCCTGCGTTCTGGACCATTTGAAGAGGTCTCACAGTACAGCCTGGAAGACCAGTTAGAAGGGCGTTGCAGTAATCGAGGCGGGAGATGACAGTAGATTGCACCAGGAGCTGGGTGGCATGTTGTGTTAGGTATGGTCTGATCTTTCGTATGTTATACAGCGCAAAGCGGCATGAACGAGCAACAGAGGCAACATGATCTTTAAAGGTCAGGTGTTCATCAATCACAACACCCAGACTTCGAACTGCCTTTGAAGGAGCCAGAGACAGGAAGTCATTTTAGACTGAGATATTGTGCTGTACGGATGGTTTTGCTGGGATGACAAGTAGTTCAGTTTTAGAGAGGTTGAGTTGGAGATGGTGGGACTTCATCCATTTTGATATGTTAGAGAGACAGTTTGATATTCGTGCAGAGACAGTGTGGTCGTCCGGTGGAAATGACAGATAGAGCTGTGTGTCGTCTGCATAGCAGTGGTAGGAGAAGCCATGTGATCAAATGATCTCACCCAGTGAGGTGGTGTATATGGCAAAGAGAAGAGGTCCTAGTACAGAGCCCTGGGGGACTCCTGTGCACGGTAGAGGATTATCCAAGCCAAGATACACTGAATGAGGTCCTGTGAGGTAAGATTCAAACCAGGCGTGCTTTCTCTGTGATGCCCATGCTAGAGAGTGTGGACAAAAGGAAGCCATGGTTGACAGTGTCAAATGCAGCCGATAAGTCGAGCAGGATAAGCACTGAGGATTTGCCCGTCGCTCTAGCTTCTTTTAAGGATTCCGTCACTGCTAACAGAGCAGTTTCAGTGGAGTGGCCCTTTTTGAACCCAGATTGGTAAGGGTCAAGCAGACAGTTTTGTGAGAGGTATTCTGTGATCTGCTTGAAATCCACCCTTTCAATGATTCTGGACAGAAAATGGAGGAGAGAGATAGGTCGGTAGTTCTCCACATGATTTGGAGGAAGAGATGTTTTTTAAGCAGCGGTTTAACCTGAGCATGCTCGAGAGAGGTGGGAAATGTACCGGATGTCAGTGATGTGCGTTGAACACGTGTGTGACTGCTGCGGCTACTGTAGGAGCAATAGCTTGGAGCAGCTTAGTCGGAATGGGGTCAAGTGGGCATGTAGTAGGGCGGCTGCACGTGAGAAGCTTGGACACACAGTTCTCAGTGAGAGGGGAACAAGAGGAAAATGAAGCAGTAGGGCCTGAGATGGTTGGGCTTGAAGGAGTTTGTGGTAGTGAATGTTCAGGAGTGGCCAGTTGAGTAAACTGTTTGCTTATAGATCCACTTTGTCAGTGAAGAATGAGGCAAAGGTGTCAGCTGATAGATTGTTGGTTGGAGGTGGAGACGGAGGGGTGAGCAGAGTATTGAATGTTGAAAATAATTTCTGAGAGTCAGTGGAGCTGAGAATTTTGTCAGTGTAGAAAGCTTTCTTTGCATCAGTGATGCTGGCAGAGAATGAGGACAGTAATTCATGAAATTTCAATTGATCATCAGGATCTTTTGTTTTGAGCCATTTCCGTTCTGCAGCTCTAAGATTGGTGCGTAGAGACCGGAGGGCATCATTTAGCCAAGGGTGTGACTGAGAGGATCTAGCAGGTCTAGTGGCTAAAGGACACAAGTTGTTAAGACAAGAGCAGAGTGTGGAGCAGAGTGAGTCGGTGGCTTCATTCACTTCATAAGCAGAGAATGTGCTGGGAGATGGAAGAGTGGAGGCAACAAGAGAGGAGAAGTGGTTGGGTGCCAGATTGCGGAGGTTGCTGCGGAATGAGATCATTGGGGAGGAAGCAGTGGACCGCCCTTGTAGAGTCGAGCTGAAATGGATGAAGTAATGATCGGAAAGATGCAGCGGTGTGACAGAGATTGTGTCTATGGCACAGTTTCTGGAGAAAATGAGGTCGAGAGCTTTTCCAGCTTTTCCAGCTTTGTGAGTTGGAGGGCTTTGTACTAGTTTTAGATCAAATGATGACATTAGTGACAGGAAGCCTGATGAGCTGGGGTTGTCCAGGTGAATATTCATGTCTCCAAGGACCATTGTGGGACAGTCGTGCTCAGGAATGGAGGAGAGCAGGGTGTCGAGTTCATCAAGAAAGTCTCCCAGTTGACCTGGTTGGTCAACTGGGGGGAGTTGGTTTTAGCGAGCGGAGGTTTCGAAGGTTGCAAAAGCGGTTTGCTGTGTGTGACCTTCCTCTGAAGCCAGTGATCACAGGTATAGGATAATGGCACATTTTGCAAGGTGTCGATGGAGCAGCGTCTGGGTCGAGTTTGTTGTGCTCTAAACCACACCTCTCCAGGTCTCTGTCGTTTCCCTCATGAGCACGTAAGTTCCCCAGGACACGGAGGGAGTCACCAGAAGGTGCGCTCTCCAGTACCCCCTCCTGGGACTCCAATTGCATGAAGGAGGAAGCATGCCGCTCTCACGTTCACCGGGGTAAACCTCAACGCACAGGCACCAAGATGGGGGCAACAAGTATGCCCACCCCTGCTCTCAGCGCCTCTCAGTGGGAGCAACTCCAGAGTGGTAGAAAGTCCAACCCTCGCTGGGAAACTGGTTCTGGAGCCAAGTGTGAGTTTCTTGTGTTAACACTTGCAGCATTTGAGCCGCATTAAGTGTGAGGTGCTTTGTGGTTTGGCTTTTTGCTGATAATGGGTTAGGGTTAGAGGGTTAGGGTTAGAGGGTGATTAGAAATCCAACATAAGTCATTTCACACCTCTCCAGATTAAGCAGGTTGCATTGTTTTTTTCTTACAGCATGTTCACACCACGTAGGTTTGACCGAAGAACGATGGATGAGCAGACTGCATTGGGGGTGAATAAAGAGAGAGAGGGTGGAGGAGCAAACAGGTGAACTCACTGAAAACGATGAAGGTTAACTTGGACAGGTGAATACGAACGTAGGAAACAAACAGACCTCCACAAAACTCCTGCTGATGCTTTTTATTTCAGATGTTTTGCTGTGTGACTTTCAGCTGCTGCTAAACATTTGGACTATTACAGTGCAAGCTAAATGTGCACAAGCCTTCATGTTTCACCTTTATTTAAACTAACAATTCCATTCACAAGCGTTGCGTGTAAATCCTGAAACGTCATGCACGCAGACCCGCACGTTAAAGGCATCAACGGCGTGTTGGACCCACAAACAAAAAACTGACCTGTTGGTGGAGTCCTTGAAGCCACACTCTCCTTTATCGTACCACCACTTGTTTTTCATCTTGTCTAGGGTCCCTTGCTCATTCACTTTCAATACGGCAAGGTTTACTGGCACTCTTCAATGGGAATAACATAAATAACATCATTATCAATGTTATCTTATGTTATTAAGAAAGCAGCGGTTCTCACACTGTTCTCACAACCAAGGAGGGCCCCAGTCAAACTTTTCTTTTGTAGCTCGTCACAAAATCATGATGGTATTACGCCACATGGGCTGGAATTTAAACATTTCCATGTAAAAATGTTTGAAATGCTTCACTTAGAGCAAATATTCCAATGTGTCTTTGCCTTATTATTGAGCAGGGCTCCACCGTTTAGCCTGAGACAGAAGATGAGAGGCGCTGCGATGAAAAGCTACTGTGCTGTCAGGCCAGAGCCACTGATCACAGAGTCTGGACACGCCATGCAAACCCTCTGTTAGAAGCTCTTCAGATGTTGCCACCTGGTCTGAGATCAGCTGACCCTGATGCGGACTCTAAGTGGGCTCCAAACCCGACCTCGGCCAAACAGAACCAAACACAGTGGAAGAAGCAGAACAGGAAACGGTGCAGCTTGGTTGCCAAGCAACTGTTGGTTTTCTTTTGAGTCAAATAATCAGTTACATGAAGGTTTTCGGTCTTCTGGGAATGTCCCTGTGCTGCTTCTTGAGGCCTTTCATATTTAACGCACTGAACATGAATCACCTGTTGTGTGTGTGTGTGTGTGTGTGTGTGTGTGTGTGTGTGTGTGTGTGTGTGTGTGCATTAACCTTGCTCTCTCCTCCTCCGCTGCCGCATTCTCCCTTGTCATACCACCACTTGTTTTTCAGTTTGTCCAGCAGCCCCTGCTCGTTCAACTTTAACACCGCCAGGTTCACGGCATTTCTACACGAACACAAAGGTGGTTAGCACGTCACTTCTTCACCACACATTAGCTTGCTAGTAGGGATGTTCGATAACTGCTCTTTACCAGTAGCCTGACTCTTAATCTCAGATATCGATAGAAACACACGTGCCCCCCCCCCTAAGCAAAGGAAAACTAAACCCTTTTCGGTTAAGTTGGAGCCGACTGTACCAAACAGAAATATCTCAAGTACATGTGGGATCTGACATTTTCAGTGAGAAGAAGCGGAAGAGTTTGTGAACGGTTTCTAAAAGTTGGGACACTAAGAAAATAAAAAGCTGAAAAATTCCAAAAGTAGATTTCTAGGCCAGTTTGGGCCGATGACATCAGACATCCCCACTTGCAAGTAAACACATTCATGTACTCACAAATCCACAGTTTTCCTTACTAAACAGGACAAGCTAAGCTGGAATTCTGCCTTAATTATACGGTTTCTTCAGCTGCTCCCGGCCAACGTTTCTTCTCTGACAAAAATATGTGGACACGTTTTGTCCAGGGTCATCTGATTTCAGACCCATTGGAAGCTTTTCCAGCAGGAACAGCCTGTTTAAGGTCAAAGGTTAGCCATTCTTATTGGGAATGTTCTGCTAGAGAGCAGAATTCATGGTTCCATCAGTTACAGCAGGTGGTCCAGATGCAGCAGAGCAGCCCCAGACCATCACATAACCACCACCGTGTCTGACTGTTGCTATGGTGATATTCTAGTGTGACTCTAGAAGGAAAGGGGCACACGTCTTCCAACTGTTCTAGAGTTTTTGGGACATGGTGCTGCCTTTTGAGGTCATTTGTCCTACTTTATGTTTTCAGACGGGTTCTTCTGGTTTTTCTTCTGGGACTGATCGGGTCTGGGTGTGTCAGATGGAGCTAAACTCAGCTTTATTAGGAAACTGGTTAATCACAGGTAATTTAGGGTGTCATCACATATAACCAGCAGCATTGTGTTCCTTTTGCATCTTAAAGGTTCACCGAGAAACTGTTTTTTACTTCCTTTTTTAAAATATCATCGGCCCCTCTGAGTTTAACACACAGGCTGTAGGTGAAAATAGTCTCCTACGCCTATCTGCTGCATTAGATAAAAAATAGATGTGGAAACGCTCGGATTGGACTGGCCTACATCTGGAGAAGTAGCTTTTAGGTCTTTCAGAACTGATGAGCCAGTTTTGTTTTGTCTGTATGTTGTACATGGTTGCTATGTATAATATATACTGTATGTATATATATTATATTATTTTATTTTTTTATGTCTCAAAATAAACTTTAGAAAGCAAAAGAAAGAAACACTGCAAAGACCAAAGTATAATGTTATGATTTGAAAGAACTCGTCTCATTGGTTCATGCGAAGGTTCTTTTTGAATCCCATCAGAGTTTCACTTCTTACATCATGTGATTCTTACGATTAACCCAACGAACCTATTAGAAGTTTAGACACTGAATCAGTTTTAAGAACACGTGTGGCGTTTGCAAGACTTAGACTAGCTGTTAGCTTATCAGTCATGTGAGGGATAAAACCTAACGTTCTTCCGAGAGAACTGAGTGGGAAGCTAGCTGTTTATGAATCTTACACAGAGAAGCACTTCCGACACACGTTGTTGCTCCATATATTTCATACGGACAGTCAGACGGAACCATGCATCCATCAACCGCTGTTCCAGAGTCGGGCCGCGGGGGCAGCAGCCTAAGCCGAGACTCCCAGTTGGGCGATTCCATCGTGAGAAAGATCCAACAGAGGTCAAGAAGAAACATGTTAAGGACTAAGTGGCTGAGTCAGTCTCCAGACTTAACCCCACAGAAAACTGCTGAACGGTCCAAACATCAGCCACAAATGAGCTGCAGAGGATCTGAAAGAGGAGTGGGACAAGCCCCCCGAGACATGTGACCACATCTGACCTCCATAATTGCCAACAAACGATTCACCACCAAGTCCAAAAGCACCTTTTACAAAGGAATCAAATACTTATTTCCTTCATTAACGTGTGAATTCACGTGGAACCTTTTAAAAAGCCATGTTCTTGGTTGCTGTTCCGTCTCACTGATCTAAGAACCCTCCCACTGAAACCATAGACGGATCCTTCAGAAGATGTTGTCCTGACCGTAAATAATACACTGATTTTTATGACTTGCCACTTCAACCACTGCTCTGATGTAGGAACTGAGTTTGGCCCCAGCTGTTCTGCACTGGCCTTTGGGAGTTGCTGCTCTGTGACCGAGGCTACTGGTCCATGCTGTTTTTGATCTGTGGTTCAATTCCCGGCTTCGGCCCCTGAGACGCTCATCTGTGCATGATTGATGGTGTCTGGACACACACAGCGCCGCTGAAACGTTTTCATGTCCTTGGATGTTTTTCCTTCTTGTTGCTTTGCAAAATAAATCATCGACATAATTTGGCGTGTTTGACCAATGTTTTAAAAAAACCTTTAATGTCAAACTGAAAACTGATTTCTACAGAAATAATGAACCATTCGCTGGCTAGTCAGGACACTCCACATCACAGAACGGGTAGATGGATTGATACAGAACCATATCTAAGACACTGGTCCTCTCCTGGAGTTCAGCTCACGTCTGTAAATCCCTCGAGATCAGGCCATCCTCACAAACGGAGTAGTGAGAGGCCAGAGGACACTGATGAGGAATTGTAAGTAGTGATGGTCACATGACGCCTCATGAAGCATTGAGCCTTTACTTCATCAAATGGTTCACTAACAAACTTCATTTAGTGCATCTTTTACTCAGCCTCATATGGTGACATCTGCTGGTGGAGCTGAAACATGACAGCCAAGTCATCATAATGGTATTGCATCTAACCTTAAGTTTATGTTTATTTATTTAGCAGACGCTTTTATCCAAAGCGACTTACAATCTATAACCTATAGGGCATGTTGTGATCTGTGGGGGAAACCGGAGTACCCGGAGGAAACCCACGCATGCACGGGGAGAACACGCAACTCCACGCAGAAAGGCCTGCGACCTTCGTGCTGCGAGGCAACAATGCTAACCACTGCGCCACCATGCAGCCCATGTAACCTGTACATTATATACATGGACTGTATGTTTTGCTGTGCTTTATCAGTTCTAGTCATAATTCTCACCACCTGCCGTCTCTCTGAATGACACTGATTGGGGTTTTGCGTGTTTTCAACTCATTCGTTTCGGCTCTCCTCTCAGGTCTGGTGGAGGATGGCACGAGTGCGCTCGACACAGAGCTCTTCCAGGACAGCTGCGTTCACAGACGACAGGTCCATCACCTAAATGTGAAACTACTCTTTAAAAGAAGTTGTCCGTTACACTAGGCAGCTCAGCTCTGGCTTTGACCAGTTCATGCAGGGTGTTCCCAATAGACCTGAGGATGTCCTAAAATGTACACCGTACACCCACCCCCCGCTCGCTGCTAACAACATCTTAACACTTTAATAACCAAGGGAAACCAAGCAAATACTGTTCAAATGGTCACATCTACTGCTTTTACTACCAGCTTGTGGACATTTTCTTCCTAGACATAACTTTTACTGGCATAAACATCAGATGTCTGGTTGCTGGTAGCTTGTTCTAACAGCGGCCAGCTCTGATTGGTTAATTTCTCGTCTAGTCCCTTTTCTATTTTCTGATTGGCTTTTCGTTTCTGTCAATTTCCGTTGTCTCCTATTCGGCAACAAAAATGTCGATCAATATTCGCCATGATTGATCCATTATTGGTGTGTATATTTTTGTTTTCGTTTTGTTAAAGTCCATGAAAATTCATTCATCACGAAATAAAAAAAAAAAACAATATTTAGTCAACAAAATTAAAAATTTCTGTTACAAGACAGTAGCTGCCTGAGATACATATCCTGTACTGGCCAGGCGAGACCGGTTTCAGACCAAAGAGTAGCTTCCAGGAGGGGAGCAGGGCCTGATGATGATGTTATTTTCCATTAGGGCTTTACAAGATTTTCAGAATAAAATTCCAAATTGGCAGAAACAGGAAAATGCATGAATGCAGCCAAAAATGTACATATATACTTTTTCTTTTCCCAAATAAAACAATATCACATGGTAAAAAGCTCCAGAAGTTATTTTACATGATACGGCCCCTTTGAGAAGCTGATCCAACTTCAGAAGTTGTCAAAAGATCAAGTTCTGCTTGATATTTCAACCGCTGATTATAACAAATGGGTGGGAGAATTTGAGCATTGTGTGTCTGATCCTCTAGTTGGTTTAAAGGCGACTTTATTTTTTCATTATCAGTTTTCTTGGGTTGGCTTGCTGCTGTAAATATGCCGTACAAACCTCCCATGGTGTATCTATCAAAATATCACAAAGGATGGTAACTGAAAAAAGTGATAACATTCATTTGTAAAAAAAAATCTTTAAATTTCATGTTTGTCATTATAAAATGGAAGAGGTCTTGCCCCAAGTGGAGGAGTTTAACTATTGCAGAGTTTAGGTAAGCAGCGGGTCTACTCTGAGCCCCTCCCTGATGACCGAGCTTCTCACCCTATCTCTAAGGGAGAGCCCAGCCACTCTGCAGAGAAAACTCATTTCGGCCGCATGTATCCGCGATCTCGTTCTTTCGGTCACCACCCAAAGCTCATGACCATAGGTGAGGGTAGGAACGTAGATCGACCGGTAAATCGAGAGCTTCGCCTTCTGACTCAGCTCTCTCTTCACCACGACAGACCGGTACAACGCCCGCATCACTGCAGACCGCAGCACCGATCCGCCTATCGATCTCACGCTCCAGCATTTACTTGACTCGTGAACAAGACCCAAGATACTTAAACTCCTCCACTTGGGGCAGGACCTCATCCCTGACCTGGAGAGGGCATTCTACCCCTTTTCGACTCAAGACCCTAGTCGTGGATTTAGTGGAGCTTATTCTCATCCCAGCTGCTAGCCACCAAAACGGATGCCCTCCACACCTTGGCTGCGCCTAGAAATCCTGTCCATAAAGGTTATGAACAGAATCGGTGACAAAGGGTAGCCTTGGTGGAGTCCAACTCTCACTGGGAACGAGCCCGACTTACTGCCGGCAATGCGGACCAAGCTCTGACACCGGTCATACAGGGTCCTAAAAGCCCGTATCAGAGGGCCTGGTACCCCATACTCCCGGAGTACCCCCCACAGGGCCGCCCAAGGGACGCGGTCAGATGCCTTCTCCAAATCCACAAAACACATGTAGACTGGTTGGACAAACTCTCACACACCCTCCAGGATCCCCCTAAGGGTAAAGAGCTGGTCTAGTGTTCCACGGCCAGGACAAAAACCACATCGCTCCTTCTGAATCTAAGGTTTGACAATCCATCAGACCTTCCTCTCCAGAACCCCTGGACAGACCTTACCAGGAAGGCTCAGGAGTGTGAGCCTCCCTGTAATAAACACCTCATTCACCTCCTTAGGATCGGAGAACAAATTACCCGATGTGTCTTTAACCTGACCTATCTGTCAAGAAGAAGCCTGACGTTTCAGTTGGTGGGCCAAGAGTCTACTTGTGTTATCCTCATGCTCCTAATACGTTGTGCTTGTATGAAGTAGCAGTCGTTCAGCATCTGCAGGAGAGAGTAAATTAAATTCAGTCTGCAAGTAATATCTTACGTAAATCAGGAGTGGGATACCACAAATTAGTGTCATCACATTTTAAAGTTTGGGTTTACGATCTTTGCTGGAATGAGCAGAGAAATAAATCATTTTGCCACACAGGCATGCTTTAAAAGACTCCCATAACAACAACCTTGTGGTGGTGTTGTTGTCATTTGATGTCATAAAGTCATCAAATTTGGATTTAATAAAGGCAACAGAAGTGCCATCTGAGAGTGGTGAAGATTTAAACATTCAGGGTGAGGAAAAAGAGAAATGGGCCATGAGTTTGATATCTACACTAAGTGGTGCACGATCTAGGCCACAAACTACTTTTTTGTTTGTCATGATGGCCACCCCTCTGGCCCTGGAACCAAACACTGAATCTGTCTGTCTGTCCCACCCATGGACATTTGAGCTTAGCATGATCCTTTCCACGAATATGGGTATCTTATTAAAAGAGCACATCACCTCTTTGATGTTATAAATGAGAGAATATGCTGGATCTTTTTACTGGGCTTTCATCCCCTCACATTCCAAGTCAAAAATCACACATCACACACGAATATAAAACAAAACTACTACCGCTAACCCTAACCCAAACACAAAAACGCTTACTGAACAGCGGTAAAGAAAAGAAATATTGAAACAGCAAAGCCTACCCCTCCCCCACACAGCAATAGCCCCATCCCCGAACAGTCAAGCCTGCAGTGCTTGCTCCTAGCGGAGCAAACCAATCGAAAGCACTCCCAACAATGAATCAAATCGTCTTCAACCAACTCTCCAACTTAGTCACTTTTAAATGAAATACAAAGCACAAGTTTTACGGTCCCCGCAATTTGGCTTCCACTCTCCTACTGAGATGCTGATGCTGCACTCTGTTTCTGCCTTCAGCACCAGGGCCAGCTACTCCTCCCACTCCAACTACCAGCCAAGCCCCAGCGGAGTTCAGCACCATGGAGAGAGGCACTCCCTGACCCAGCAGCAGCAGTTCCAAATCCTCACCTGAAGATATTCAAGTGGAGTTTTTTTAATTATTTTAACTCCCCCCCCCTCCCCCCCCTCTCTCTCTCTCTCTCACACACACCTTAATCAACATTGTTTTGTTTAACTGTGTGTGGGAAAAATGCCAACAACGTTAGGAAAAAAATAAGTTTAGTCAAATGAAAATAAAATGGTTCTAGTATTTCATATTTCCTAGTTCCTGCTGCATGAGTTCAGATGCATTAATTCATGCACTTAAACATTAATGTTCTGATTTTACTGAAAAACTTGTTCTGTAACAGTTTCTTTACTGTTGTGATCAAAACTATTTAATCTCAGTTCTGAGGCTGCTCTGTAAATAGTTTTCTAATAAACACACATAGCAACTTCTGATCGATCCATATCAATTTCAGAATTAAAATAATGTATTGATGTAAACCACGCCCACTCATTTCCAAATAATAAATAAGAGGTGCATTCATCTGTGTATCTGCTTTGATCCACATTAGTGATGTTTTCAGCACCAGAACAACGAAGCAAAGAAACAGATTCCTGAGTTTATGTTAGTAATTTTATTTATTAGGTGCATCTGACCGGTTCTATTTTTCTCTGAAATGAGATCAGACCAGTGCTTCTATGGGTTTTCTCCTCTCTGCACTAGAAACATGTACTTTATTATAATGTTCACTGTAATGCATCTTGATGTTCTTAACACATAAATTAAATCAAAGATATTGGTCAATAATGCCAAATATGTAAATTTGTGTTTCAGTCATTTTTATACTGACTTAAAAATACTTCATTAAGTCTACTAAGCAGGGGTGTAGAAGGTGTTTAACAGGGCCAGCCCAGTAATGGTCTTGGACCAAAATAAAGGGGGCAGATGGAGATGTTATTCCAGACGCCAAGAAAAATTAAATACCCCCCCCCCCCCCCCCCCCCTCAAAGTGTGTCACTGAGAGTTTAAAACAAAAATTATTCTTGTGCAAATATTGGTGTACTCACCTTTAATACTAGTCATTAAAATGCAGCAGTTGCTGGATTGGTACAGTTCAGAGTGGAGGGCATCAAATAAAACAATATTAACATAAAGGTGAGACGTGTCATAATCCCACCACCACAACAGCTGGAAAACTTCCTAGGGGAAACACTGTAACTTGTTGAGTACTTAGTACTTTTGATATACTTTGTGGATTACTCTAGTCCTTCCTGTTTAAGTAGTTTTGACCTAAGAGCTATTTTGTGATAAGTACATTTTTAGTTGTTGTATTTCATGGGTTTTGAGTTGTTAGTTAACCCTGAGATAACTTCTGAGTTACAAGACAGTAACCTGCTTATTTGGTAAGCAGGTAATTCTACGTGATTGACAAGAACATTTTTCAACAATGAGAATAGATTGGGGGGCTCAATTTTGTCCGGATGGAACACAGCTGGTGTGGTATGTTTTGGATTTTATTGGATATTTTGGAAGGAGTGGAGTATTATATACCTCTCCCAGTTGTCTGTCGAGGACTTTGAAGACACATGAATTTTTGGATTTCTTATCACTGGATTTCTTCTGACTGAAGTAGGAGGATTTCTGGTATTTTGGTCATTTGGAAAGTCAGGGGCAGTTGGAGTGTCACCTGAACTCAAGGAAAGTCTCAGCCGAGTGGGGATATTTAGGCCCGAACAGCGAAAGCGCTGCGAAGGCCTCTTGTTTTTGCTCTGATTATTCTTTCTTTCTTTCTTTCTTTATTATTCCAGTGCCGCTTTGAACGGCTTTTTGGGGACCTTAACATACCCCAAAACTCACAATATTTTGCATATTTGTCAGGCCTGGTGAAAAATGTGATATTTTAAAGGTCCCAAAAAAATCGCAAAGAAAATGGCTGAACAGCGCCCCCTACAAAGTGAAAAAAACCCTCTCCATAAAGCTTAGTTTATCGTACAGTTATGAAATTTGGTACACTTCTAGTACTCAACAGTCCGCACAGAAAAGTCTCTTGCAAGCATGGTCAATATCAAACAGGAAGTCGGCCATTTTGGGTTGAAATGGCGATTTTTAGCCGTTTTTGCCGTTTTTAGGGTCCGTTTCTGATTGGATTGCTTGATCATTTTTCGCACAATCGTCTCAAAAATTGTGTAAAATTGCTCAGAAGGGATGGGCGAACAAAATGAGATGAGAATTCAGAGTTTTCGTATATGTTGAAGGGGCGGGGCCAGGCCTCAAAATTTGACTACTCGCCAAAAATATTTAAATTGCTTTAACTTCATAACTGAATGGAATAGAGTTACCAAACTTTCTGTGGTCATTCGTCATCCACCCACAAAGTAAATTGAATGGTCGGATGATGACATCACACAAGCCCCGCCCCCTCAGGACCAAAAAGATCAAGTTTTACTGTGAAAGGTCCCAAATGGCCCCATTTCACTTAATCACCACGAATATGTTTCAAATGAGAAAAAATAATTGTGAATAAAAATGTAAGGAAATGGAGAGAGAAAATGAATAGGAAAGAGGGAAATCTTAAATTAAAGACTGAAAACCAGATACTGATATTTTCTGATATGAAATTTTAATGCCGATATCGAAATGGTAGACTGATATTATTGGTCTTTCCTAAAAATAGCACAGAACTGAACACATTTTTTCTGAGTAAGTGTTCAGAAAGACTGGCCAGCTTTTGTAATGTTTGGAAAGTCTACAAACTTTCTAAAAGGCTCTATAGATGCATTTCTGAAGCGTGTTCATTAATAATTTTAAAAGCTTCTCTCTGGATGTCCGAGGACCGTTTTTGTAGGCATTAGTTTTAGGATAGAAGGTTCTGAAAGTTTAAATGTATTATTTATCATGATACCAACACAAACTCTCTTTAGGATCTTAGCTCAAACACAGAAAAAAAAACCCTCACCTGCTTGTCACAGCAACCACCACCAGCCACTGGTCAGAGGTGGTCACCATGGTATAAATACAAACCAGTGCGATGACATCATCAGGGTAGGTGGATTATTATAACAACGAGTTAGCTGCCATGCCCCATTCATCACATTAGCACACTGCTAAACCCATTTGGCTCTAAGGCTTGAGACAGGAGAACTTGTTCCTCATTGTAGATTTGTGTAGCGGCGTTGCTGCTAAAGAGCACTTCAGCAGCAGGTAGGGTTAGTGTACTCTGATGGTTTCAGAGTCTTATGAGTACCGAAGAGGGGAAGAGCTGTAAACTGTGCACAAAACGTGATTTCCTCACATGAGAACATGAGAGGAAACCATGGCCTAAATGAGGAGGGGACCAGTATGCTAGGCAGCAGGTTGGTGGTGTAAATGGTACATGGCAGTGCAGGTTGGCTGGCATTGTTATACTGATCCACCCACCTTAATGGGGATCCTTTAGGGGTGGCAATCCCATAGCCTTTGGAATCCAGGTTTCCTCCGACTTTCATGGTGTCACAGGGTTTTCTCTGCTCGATGTACTCGTTCATGGTGGACTCCAGCAGGTAGGCGTACTTTCCTTTGGACTTCCTGACACGTTGCACGCCCTCTGAGGTTTTTTTGACAAAGACCGAAGGCTCTGCTGATTTCATGTACTGCCACATCTTGTCAAACAGGGCAATTTTAGAGCGCTAAAAACAAGACACATAAAACAAGTACATAAGTAGTAAAACTTATTTTGTGGTACCATCATTATGTCAGCTTAGTGCACAGAGGACCGCCTCCAGAAAATTTTGATAGGGGTGGCCAGACAGGGCCAAAGAAGTTTTTGGGGTGGCACACCAAATTGGTCCTTGTGGTAACTCTGGGAGAGTTTAGCCTGTGGCGATATATTGCATTGCTCCTTTATTTGTTTTTATTAAAAAAAAACAGTATGTATCCAAAACATTTAAAGAGCAAGTCACCCCTGCCAGAGTATAACTCCGCTCCCACTTCCTGTTTGAAAAATGCAACAAATGCTGTTGCCTAGCAGACCGAGAAGGCGGAGCCGCTAACAAATACACACACACAGGCTCACAACGACATTGTGACATCATATGGTACCAGCCAACGTTCTAGGGTACCTCTTAGCCAATAGCGATGGCGGATTTAAATTCAAATGCAGTGCAGAGTTTTTACCTGACAACGGCACAACACTGACAGTTTTAGGCACAAAATAAAAATTTTAACTAAAACACTCTGAAGTGCAAAACTGCTGACTACACGTGTCTGTAGCACGATTAGACGCACATTTATATAGTTTACCTCCTACCAGTTGCCATAAAGTCTGTTATCTCCCTGTTAATATTTCCTGTTTATCACTTACACAAATGATTAATTCATAAAGAAATGCTGGTATTAGGCCTAGTCCACACGTAGCCGGGGTTTTTAAAAACGAATATCCGCCCCTCCAAAAACTTGCATCCACACCACCGCGTTTTAAAAAAACAAGCTCTGTCCACACGTACCCGGATAAATACGTTGTTAAGGACATGATGCCAGACCTGTAGGCGGCAGTACTTCCCCCGTTCTTAACTTCGTCCTTCGTCTGTGGTCTTCCGCAAGGAGCAGTAATTCCGCTTGCAAAAACAAACAAGCAGAAAGCGCTTGGACAATTGATGGATCGGGTAGTGACAGAGCGCAGCTCTGAGGGCTTCCATGATGCCGGCTAGTGTAAACACAGGTCGCACACGTGATGTCAGCATTTTTTGTCGCGGAAAGTGACGTTGCGGACCTTAAAACTCCGGTTTTGTCTGTCCACACGCAGACACCCAAAACGGAGAAAACGCAGATCTTCACTTTGGCCGGAGTTTTTAAAAAGATCCGTTTTCGTGTGAAAAATCCCCGGCTACGTGTGGACAGGGCCTCAGTTTAATATGCCTTCATCAGTTCCCTGACGCCACTGTCTAACATAATCAATTCAGGTAGTTGCCACGCTGCCAAAGACAGTTTACACTGACAGTGAACGAACCACTGACGCGTGTCATTACAGCAATGGTGGCGCTGCAAGATGGCGACCTACAAAAATCACTCGCCAGTCTGTAATTTATGGTGTCTCCATGTAATTTCAGAAGGTTGTGCATTATGTCCCTGGGACCCTCAATTGGGACTGCACTCTGATCGACTTTCTTCATTGTTTGTCTTTGTTAAATTGATTATATTCCACCAATATTATACCCATTTGCATTACCAAGGAGCATATAAGCAATACATGTCAGGAACGTGAAAAGCAATCCCACTCAAAGGAAGTTTGTTCAACGTTTCTGATTTACCTTTAAGTGCATTTATTGCCACGTCCCAGCTTACAACAAAAGTTTCAGCTGTCTCCAAGATAACTACAATCACCTGTTGTGGTAGGAACATGAACAAGAACTTACCCGGAAAAATTCTTTGGTGGATCCAGAGTCTAGAGTCCCATACGCTATCTCTGTCTGTTTAGCCAGGTCCTCTGCACTCTCAATGGGAGAAACCATTCTTTCTACCGTCAGAAAGGCAGCCAGGTTGGCAGTATATGATGAGATGATGATGAGTGTGAAAAACCACCACACCCCTCCAACTATACGACCTGAGAGAGACCTGCACACACAAAACAGCTCAGGTCATTCAGAGTTTCTATCCCAACACTGTCAGACTGCCCCAGGGCAGCTGTGGCTACACAGTAGCTTACCATCATCGGTAGAGTGCACGAACAATAGAAAGCACTAAGTGACTAGAAAAGTGCTATATGAATCCAATCCAGTATTATTACTATTATCATTGTTGTTGTTATTATTATTAACAAAATGTGGCTTCAAAGCAGGTGTGTTTCAGCAGGAAACCCAGTTTTTGTGTGATGCATTTGCTTTGTTGAGGACTTGAACAATAAAAGTATATTTTTAGTCATAATAATAATAATAACAAAAACAAACATAGCAACAACATCTTTATTCTTATCTATGAGGGGTGGTATGTAAATGCCCGTTAGTAATGTAGCAGGATGAAATAAGCCTGCTCCTAATTAGGTGGGTTGGCGCATACCGGCTTCCGTACTCATGAGGGCGCTGTGGGTATAAAAGGGAGCTCTGCTCTAGTGATGGGAATTACGGCTCTTTTTTAGAGAGCCGGCTCTTTCTGCTCCCAAGTGGCTCCTCAGATTTTCTGTTGCGTAGAGTACATTTATAACCAAAATAATGCAAAACAGTATGTAAAATGATTTACTAATGTAAAAATTATGCAATATATCAAATATTTATCATTTCTATGGATTTAATAACTGAACACTCCCAACTCCTGTGGCTAACGTCTAGTTCCTGAAACAGGAGCACCAGAGCTTTTTTTCCTCACAGAGATCGACTAAAGGCATTCATTTTTACTAGAGAGATGATCAAACTTGGTTTTTAAAAATTTTAAGAGAATTATTGAGCATACTAAAACGTGTGTGTAAGTACAACTCGCTATTAATTGATTGCAATGTTATTGATGTCTCTCTCACACGCACACACGCACACACACACACACACACACACACACACACACACACACACACACACACACAGGGAGTCTTACCAACCTTGGTGAGATGTCACATCCCTGGCGCATGAAAGCACCCAGAGAAAACCAGAGAGAATTAAAGATCCCAAACTCGTTGATGGACTCTGTTGTTAGCGGCAGAGCTCCATCCTCTGGCTCCTCCAGAGTCCACTCATACGGACTGAACCTCGACACCTACAGTGATGACAACACGCTGATTATTTCCGAATGTCCTATTAGATGTTCACAAAACAGTAATATTAGAACAGTCCAGTGAATTAGGGTTCATTTAGAACTGTTGTTCCATGTTTCCTCTGTATTTGTCTATTACAAGACTGTACAGCAAGTTATTTTATCATTTAATCAACAACAACACTCTAATTTCTGTTCTACATAGCGGATAAATAATTCATCTATCCATAAAGAATTTATCCCTTTACAAATGAATTGTTTGAAGCAGAATCTCTGAAAAGCAGCAACAGATATCGTCTAGAGTTCAAAACCTTTATATAACGTAATCGTGAACTTTATAACCACTTTATAGAATGTGTGTGTGACTTATGTATGTTAACACAGGTACCCTACACCCCCAGCAGGTCCCTGAGGTCCAGTGACCAAAGACTACTGGTTGTGCAGCACCAGGCTAAAGGTCAAAGGTGACAGATCATCTGCTGCTATGGCCCCCAGACTCTGGAACTCTCTCCCCCTGAGCCTGAGATCAGTGGATGGTGGTGGTGGTCGCAGGGACTAGTGACATCTGCGTACAGCAGACTCACCTCTCAGTGCGCCCCAGAGCAGCTGTGGCTACAGTGTAGCTTCTCACCACCAGGGTGTGAATGGCTGAATGACTGATTGTGATGTAAAGTGTATTGAGGGGGTTCCAGGACTCTAGAAGGCGCTGTATCAAATACAGCAAATAAACGTTTAACTGTAACATGTTGGCTCTGACAGAACTACGGTTTCGGTGACATCCTGACAGCCTTCATGATCTGGATTGTTTGAAGGACAATCTGATTCTGTTGACCACATTAGACACGTTCGACTTTTGAATGAGTTCACATTTTAAATCACCGAGCGTTATCATGTCCTCAGAAACAAGCTGGCTTACCAGAAAGAGTACGACGCTGACTCCTATGTAAGCGAAGACGATGCACATCCAGATCTCATAGGCCAGTGGGTCCAGAAAGGAGAAGACTCCCGGTTTGGATTTCTGAGGCTTTTTGATCATGATAGAGATTCCCAGAGACATGAAGGGTTTGGAGAAATCAATCACCTCTTCACGTACAAGTGTAATAGTCAGTGGAGCAACGGCAATGTCTGCTTTCTGCAGGAGAACACAAACAGACGGATGTTTGGTTAGATGTCAGGCAAAGCCAGGATTGCAGGACTTACAACCTGACAACAAGCTTCAGTCATGTTCTCTTATGAATGAGTGAATGAGTGACAGTAGTGTAAAACACTCTGGAGTTCTCTAATCTACACAAGTGCAGACCCTTTACCATAACACAGCTGCATGTCCACAGATGGATGTGCGAGGAGGATGTGTGAGCTAGATGAGATGTCATGATGGTCTTCGTCATTCCAACACTGTTTCTAATGCCGCATCAGGTGAAGACAGACCAGCTCTGGTGCTGGAGTCCTGGACCTGGTACGACCGGTAAAATCCCCCCAGTCCAGTGTTATCCCAGCGTGCTCTTTCACCCGTTCTACCCAAACAGCCAGGTGGCACAGACCTGCTGCTTTTGTTATCATACAAATGCTTCTTCTTACATCTGTGCTGCCTGTGACCTTTCAACAATGAACGTGTTAATCGTGTGTTTTCATCAATCAAAAACTGTGAATGAACAAAAGAGGAACCCAGATCAGATCAGTATCTGGTGTGACCACCCTCTGCCTCCAGAACAGCATCAGATCTTCTAGCTACACTGGAACGCAGCTGCTGAAGGAGCTGGGAAGGTAGGCGGTTCCAGACGTCCTGGAGAACTAACCACAGATGTTCTGTGGAAGTTGGCTTCCTCACATGCTTTTATCTCCTCATGTAATCCCAGACACACTCCATGATGCTGGGATCAGGCTCTGTGGGGCCAGACCATCACCATTGACCATTGAGCAGGATTGATGGTTTATCCCTTGAGGTCCACGTGGCAGGGGTAAGGTGGTGCTCGCTCCTCACTCCTGCCACGTGGACCCAAGGGATAAACCATCGATGCTCAATGGTCAACTTTCCTGGCGGGGTCACCCATTAGGACAGTGGGAGGGTTAAGGGAAGAAGGTGGCAGAGGAGGTAAGCACTTGCCCTGTAACTGGGGGGTTGCAGGTTAGAGCCCAGTCTGTCCCTGAGTCTGTAGGCAAGACGATTCAGCCTCCTGCCTGCAGGTGGTGGTCAGAGGGACTGCTGGTGCCTGTGTACGGCTGTCTCATCAATGTCAGTGCGCCCCAGGGCAGCTGTGGCTATGATGTAGCTTATCAGTGTGCAAATGACTTGTGTTGTAAAGTGCCTTGGGGGGTTGTGGAGCACTCGAGGGTGCTATATCAGAATATAGGTCGTTTACCATTTGTTCATATTTCTGAAAGCGTTCTTTGTCAACAGCATTTTTTCCACTTGACTAAAACCTTTGCACAGCACCGTATACTGTGCCTGGCCCAAAAAGGTCCCACACTCTAATATGTCCTTGGACCATCTTTAGCTGTGATTACGACTCACACATCCCAGCACATCCCAAAGACTCTCAACGGGGTTAAGGTCTGGACTCGGTCTGGTTGTCTCACGCTCCCTGAACCACTCTCTCACTATCTGAGCCTGATGGATCCTGGCATCGTCACCCTGGAATATGCCCGTGACATCAGGGGAGATGGTCATTCGGTATGTTCAAGTAGTCAGCTGACCTTACGCTTGGAGCACATCCTGTTGCTGAACCTAGACCTGACCACCTGCAGCAAGCCCAGATCATAACACTGCCCCCACAGGCATGAACAGCAGGCACTAGGCATGATGGGCGCATCACTTCATCTGCCTCTCTTCTTACCCTGATGCGCCATCACTGTGGAACAGGGTCCATCTGGACTCATCAGACCATCCATCCATCCATTTTCTGCCGAGTGACATTATCCATCCAGGGTGTCCTGGGTCTTCCCTTGAGTCTCTTCCCAGTTGGACGTGCCCTGAAATCCTCACCAGGGAGGTGTCCAGGAGACATCCTGACCAGATGCCACCTCAGCTGGCCACCAGGCGCTTGCCAATGTGCCCCCAGCTCCAAGCCTAGCTCCAGAGAGGGGCCCCTTTTACCCCGCGTCCAGGCAAGGGAACACTGTTTCCATTAGTATTGTTCGTCATAAGGAGTCTTTGGGCTGCTCCTTGTCTGATCCCTTACCAAGGATCTGTTTGCCACGGGCGACCCTACCAGAGGCATAAAGCCTCAGACGTCTTAGCTCCTAGGATCATTGGGACACTCAAACCCCTCCACCACGGGGAGGGTGAGGGTCTCATCAGACCAGTTTTTAATAATGCGCTGAATAAATCTTAACCCAGTTTTAGTCGTTTCTGCTCGGGACGTCCCGACACAACTTTATTCACTTCCGATACGATACCGATATTGCAGCCTTCAGTATTGACCGATACCGATATCACTCCGATACGGTATCAGCACGAATCCTACTTACGTTTACCTACTTTGTAATGTGCAATGTATGAAAGGCCTAATCAGGTGATATAACTCAAACAGAAAACAAAAGCCGGCAACAGTAAAGTATAAAAACCTGACCAATATTTTATTGCCTTTGGTTGCATAAATGTGAAGAGCTGAGGTCAGGGACAAGAGGAAAAAACACAATGTAGTGTCTAAAGTTTAAAGTTCACTCGCTGAGATAATCGTCCTGCTATGGTTTGTGATCCTGCTTCAAACGCACGATGAGGTTGGACGTACTAATCTTCCCCTGTTCTGTTCCACCACGGGAAACTTGCATAACAAGTGTTTGCACTGAGTCAGTCTTTCGGACTTTAACGAAAAATACAGCCACATGGCCGACATTGTTCCTTGCTACTTAGCTAGCACACGCTGTTCTGATCACGTGGACTTTGCATGCTGGATGTGGGCGCTGCTGGATTAGAATTCCTGGAATGGGATTTTAAAGTGGAATGTGCCGCTAATATCAGAGCTTTTTGATGCAGTCCGATATAATCCATACAGTGTTGGGCCGATATCCGATATCGATACGGAACAGGTCATCCCTAGTTTCTGCATCTCCTTAGACATTTTCTCTGCTTGATGCATGCCGACGATCTGGACCCTTCTGAAACAGACGAACATATTTTCCCACGACCACCAGATGTCGTTCCACGTGGTTGTTTAAGGAATGAGAAGTAGCTCATTGCACCAGTTGGGCTAAATAACTTGTTGCAGCATGAAAGATCATCACCCTGTAGTAATTATCCTATAGGAGGCTCCCACCTGTGTGTTTTAGTTAAATCCAGGTGGACTTTTATTCGGCCAGGCGGTGTATTTATTTATGTAATTGTATAATGTGTGTGTGTGTGTGTGAGAGAGAGAGAGAGAGAGAGAGAGAGAGAGAGAGAGAGAGAGAGAGAGAGAGAGAGAGAGAGAGAGAGAGAGAGAGAGAGAGAGAGAGAGAGAGAGAGAGAGAGAGAGAGAGAGAGAGAGAGAGAGAGAGAGAGAGAGTGAGAGAGAGAGAGAGAGAGAGAGAGAGAGAGAGAGAGAGAGAGAGAGAGAGAGAGGTTTTTCACATCTTACCCCATACACCAGTTCTCCCACCATACCATTCCAGATTTGGTCTCAGCATCTCTTGCTCCATATTTACCATCTCCAACTATCTTTAGTTGGTAGCGTATCCCACAATGCTTTGCAATCTCTGCAGCCAGGTCCACACAGTAACCTAAACATGGACAATAACAATAATACTGACGGTAAATGAAGTTGGGTGAGTAGAAGTCTTTCACACGTTACATTTATTACATGCTGGGAGTCCCACGCTATGTTTACTGTTGTTTTTATGTAAACTGTAGGAAAGCCAAGAGAAGTAAAAACAGACCCATCTTCTAAGACTGACCACATTTTCTTTTTCTCTCAACCTTTAAGGTGCAGGGCCTGAGCGGGTCTCTGCAGCCTGACAGAGGGGGCTTCTCCTAACCCCCCGTAGGCTGGGCATTTCTACCTTTCTATTAAATATGGTCTGTAGTGAACTTAAAGGTAGGCTGATTTTAAAGAGAGAAACGACTCCATTAATGACCTTTAAAGGTCCGATTTCGCACCTAAAAACAACTTTTAGTATTTTTTTTATTTGACTTTCTGCACTCACCTTTACCTGTAGCTGGACACTCCTCCCTTTTGTGGACAGTACATATTACAAAATAAATACTGGGAAAAATGAGAAAAGAAAACATGGTTTCACCGGCCTTTTGGGGCTTCAGTGAGAAAAAGAGAAGCCTTGAAAATGACATTTTAATAAAGAACTTTTTCTTCTTCTCGCCTTTCGGGGTTGGGTTACAGTAAGGGCTGTTCTCCTAATGCCCCTCATTTAGATAGCTACGCATGTTTAGCATAACGTGCTACACCCAGCCTGTCAAACACAGGAAAGACAAATATACAACCATTTCAACTAAAGGTTGATTCCACCAGAATCTGTCGGCTACAGAGTCAGCGTCTTCCCCCTGAGTTTGTGTTGAAGGACCAAAGATCACCGCAGCAGAGAGATTCAAACGGTGTTGGTCTGACGACGACGTAGGGGACAGACAGGCTTGGGTGGATGGTTTCCTACTTGTTACTTACAGATACACCAATAATAATAATACTACTGCTAGCATGCATTGGAAGGCTATGAATCTGAGGCAATAAAAGACAGAGGTGAGGGTTTATGCATTAACAAGACATTCAATAAATGAAGAGGGCTGTTGAAAAAGTTCATCTCCACATCCAGACACCAGCTGGGATGTTTCTGCTCACACACTTTTTATGTTTTGTTCCAACAACACACTCCTCTGGTATCGACCTTCTCTCTTGTGCTCACTCCTGATTAATATTTCCATTTGGATGCCTCCACCTCCACGGATCCACCTTCCTGTCAGCGCACCTTACCCCGTTGGGCAGATGCTGTCAGTCATACCTTTGCCTTTGTTGATATAACAAGTTCATCTATCGGTTCACATAAGATTAATATCAAGGTTTTAACTTTCACTTCACATAAATGTGTAAAAACATTTCCACTTCACTGAGTTAGCCTCTGAGTATCTGAGGGAAGGCGTGATTTCTGAGGTATTTTGGTAAAGCCTTTTAACCCTCCCTCTGTCTTCATGGGTGTGATCCCGCCAGGAAAGTTGACCATTGAGCAGGATTGATGGTTTATCCCTTGAGGTCCACGTGGCAGGGGTGAGGTGGTGCTCACTCCTCACCCCTGCCACGTGGACCCAAGGGATAAACCACCATCACCCATGAAGACAGAGGGAGGGTTAAACGTGTCAAATTCTGATTCGCCACATTTATAAACAAAAGTTGGTAAATACAGGAATCATTTCCTGATCTGGAAGACTACTTCACCATTCACTCGATAAGGCCAATCAGGTGAGCAAACATTTTGAGACCATCCTATCTTTTGACCCCAAGGTCAAAGCCTCTTTGCAACACCTGAATGATATCAGACACAACGGCTCTTTTAAGAGCGACCAAACAGCCTCAGACACGAAACAGACACCAGCTTGCTGCTGTCACCTGGAGATAAGCTAGACTAGACGGGTTGTACTCTGAGCTGTCTACTAGCTTCGGTACTAGTGGTCCACACCATCGGCAGTGTCCATCTTGCCCTCCTGACCCCCTGAATTGCTTGGGGAATTTCACACAAGGGTGCGTAGACCAGCACAAATTGTGTCGGGTGGTTTTAGAAACAAATCTCTAGCTTATAGCCCCACTGATTTTACCACCCAGACACCACACGCTCTCTCAGATACTTAAAAGGTTTTGCTAAAACATCTAGCTCACATTCAATCATCTGTTATCTGTGCAAGCATCATTTCATGTACAGTCATTTAGTTTAGGAAAATATGATTAAAGTCTTTTTTAAAAACTATATTCTTGACTTTGTGTGGATTAATGTGAAGTGTGTGTTCCCTGAGTAAGTCAAAGAAACTAAAGTCGTCTGATTAAGCATTCAAAGACCAATCAGATTGATATTTTATATTTATATGGATTATCACATCTTATTGATCATTTTATAAATAAATAAATGGCTAATCATTAATAGGGATGTGTATTTTTGAAATTCTGGCGATACGATACATATCACGATACAGGGGAGACGATACGATATATCACGATATATTGCGATACATTCAGTCAGAGTTTACAAGCAATTTTTTTTACTGAATTTATTGTAAGAATGTTCAATAAACAGTCCAAACTGATACGTAACATGTTTAACATGAGGAATCTGAACCATGATGGAGGGATTTACATGTCAGTGGTGGAAACAAAACCCGTTGCACACTGCTGCCAACTAGCGGGTGGCGATTGAATTGCGCAAAACGAAAAGAAAATACACAAATGTTTGCATGTAAATTCTTTCAGGAATTAGGTACACGGCTTTTGAATATTGATGTAATAATCGCAGGAAAAAATATCACGATATATTGCCATATCGATATTTTCTTACATCCCTAATCATTAACGCTACACCAATGAGAAATCATTATACCTCGCGCTTTACTACAGCATAGTTAAAGCTTCCTGTGCGTCATAGGGAATGCGTTGTTTCAGCTGTGAGGTTTAGACGATAGGATCAATGACAAAAAAAAGTTTGTCACGAACTCCATGGAAACTTTTTTGCCTTGGCCCCCAAAAGGCCTTGACACGGCCCTGGGTGTGTCACTGAGTTTTGAAGTTGATCTGAACTGCATCAAACATATAAATATTACGTGTGTCTGAGATCGGCCCGACTTTCCTCGAAACAAAATCCTCGTTAGGCCTCCTGAGTTTTGAAAGTCGTTCATTTTTCATGAGCGAATGGTCCCGAGCTTTCTGTTATAGGAATACAAATGTCCCCAGCTGAAAGACCACCAGTGAATCTGACCAACTTCTTCGTAGAGCTCATACAGGCTGTTAATGCCTTTGATTTAGTCTTCAGTACAGTTTCTAAGCTTCTCTCTTAACCTCCTCCTTTCTTTAGATGCTAAAAGGTTTATCTCATGGGGATTCCACCCACACACTCTCTTGAAAGACTACATCGCATTTTGATATCAGGTCATGTTGTGTTTGTTCTTGCCACACTACCACATGCACACAAAGTTAAAAAAAATATGTCAACAAAGAGACTTCATAAGAGACTTTACCTTCATATCGATCATTATCTTGGAACAGTTCAGCGTTCTTCTTTAGCATGACGTACGGAGCTTCCTACACACACAAACACACAAAATCTTTATTATATTGAACTTTAGGTCAAAAAGCATCTTCTGACTTTTACTTCAGGAGAGATTAAGACATGTTTTTGTCCATAGCTCTTGCATTTTTCATCTCGTGGCAGCAGAGAAGTTGTGTATTACCAGTATAGTCGTCACTATGACAGTCTTGTTTTCCATTCCCATGGTGTCATTGGGGTAAAGGTCGGACTTTGTGGCCACCATTTTATCCACTTCGTTCCAAAAGCCAATCTAACATCAACACATTCAAAAGTTAATAACATCCATCCATCCATCTTTACATTTATCCATCCATGCATCATCCATCCATCCATCCATCCATCCATCCATCAATCAATCCATCCATTTTGTATTTATCCATCCATGCATCATCCATCCATCCATCCATCCATCCATCCATCCATCCATCCATTCATCTATCTATTTATCAATCCCCATCCATTTTATATTTATCCATCCATCCATCCATCCATCCATCCATTTATCAATCCATCCATCCATCCATCCATCCATCCATCCATCCATCCATTTATCAATCCATCCATCCATCTATTTATCAATCCATCCATTTTGTATTTATCCATCCATCATCCATCCAACCATCTATCCAGTTATCTGTTCATCTATCCATCTATCATCAATCCACCCATCCATTTATTCAACCATCCACATCCATCCATCTTTCTATTTATCACCCCATGTGTCATGTTCTGTGTCCCTTTGGTCCCCAGCCCCCTCCAGGTTTCCCTCATGTTCCCCCTAGGCACTCACTACTTATTTAGTTTATCCATTTTCAGTATTAAGAACCCCTGTATTTGATCTCCTCTTCCTTTGGTTCTGGTCTCTTTAAGTTCCTATATCTAACCCAGGATGTTTCTGGTTTCAGGTTTATCAGTTCACCTTTCTTTAGTTTTCTGTATGTTTGGATCATCTAGGTTGTATCTCCCTTTAGTTCATTTTGTTTCCTTCCCCATTTTGGTCTGGTTTCCTCCCCTGCCCCGTTCTGCTCTTCCTCTCAGTTTATTAGTCTCACATTTGCACAATTGCCTAATCACCTAGTCCATGTGTATATAACCCTGTCTTTTCTCTCAGTGTTTGTTGGTCCATTGTCTTGTCAGCGTTGTTCTTGTTTCCGTCCTGTGCTCTCTAGGTTCCTGCTCTTAAGTTTGAGCTTTTGTTTTGGTTTTCAATGTTTTGTATTTGAGGCTTAGATTCCAGCACTTTGAATTTTAGCAACTCCTCCTAAATACAGGATTTTTAGTTTTTGCAACCGCTCCTGCCTGTGTCGCTCTGGGTTCCTGCATTTTGGGTCCAAACATCCTACCCTCAACGTGACACCATGCACTCACTATCTATCTATCTATCTATCTATCTATCTATCTATCTATCTATCTATCTATCTATCTATCTATCTATCTATCTATCTATCTATCTATCTATCTATCTATCTATCTATCTATCTATCTATCTATCATCTATCTATCTATCTATCTATCTATCTATCTATCTATCTATCTATCTATCTATCTATCTATCTATCTATCTATCTATCTATCTATCTATCTATCTATCTATCTATTCGTATTCGTGCAGAGACAGTGTGGTCATCCGGTGGAAATGACAATTAGAGCTGGGTGTCGTCTGCATAACAGTGGTAGGAGAAGCCATGTGATTGAATGATCTCACCCAATGAGGTGGTGTATGCGGCAAAGAGAAGAGGTCCTAGTACAGAGCCCTGGGGGACTCCTGTGGCAAGATGGTGCATGGTAGAGGATTGTCCAAGCCAAGATACACTGAATGATCGTCCTGTGAGGTACAATTCAAACCAGGCATGTGCTTTCTCTGTGATGCCCATGCTAGAGAGTGTGGACAAAAGGGAGCCATGGTTGGCAGTGTCAAATGCTTCCGATAAGTCGAGCAGGATAAGCACTGAGGATTTGCCTGTCACTCTAGCTTCTTTTAAGGATTCCGTCACTGGTAACAGAGCAGTTTCAGTGTAGTGGCCCTTTTTGAACCCAGGTTGGTAAGGGTCAAGCAGACAGTTTTGTGAGAGGTACTCTGTGATCTGCTTGAAAGCCTCCCTTTCAATGGTTTTGAATCTATCTATAATAGAATAGATCTATCTATCTATCTATCTATCTATCTATCTATCTATCTATCTATCTATCTATCTATCTATCTATCTATCTATCTATCTATCTATCTATCTATCTATCTATCTATCTATCTATCTATCTATCTATCTATCTATCTATCTATCTATCTATCTATCTATCTATCTATCTATCTATCTATCTATCTATCTATCTATCTATCTATCCTTCAATTTAATAACTCATCCATCCATTTATTCATCCATCCATGCATCATCCATCTATTTATCCATCCATTTATCAATCAATCTATTTATCTATCCACCCATCCACCCATCCATCCATCCATCCATCCATCCATCCATCCATCCATCCATCCATCCATCAATCATCAATCTACCCATTCATGTATTCATCCATCCTTCCATCCAGCACTGGCTTAACTGATGTTTTCTTTTATTGAACCATTGGTTCTCCTTGAAGTACCTTAACAGGTCCGTTGTTCTTTAGCTCCATGATTGTCACTGAATAGTTGATCCTCTTGCCATACTGGTCAAACTGAATGTTTCCAGTTAAACCATTTACACGAACCTAAACACAAATCATATTATTTAAAGACTAAATGATCATGCAAACATTAAACATGAAACACTGACAAGAGGAAGGTTTGGGGAACTAATGAGGTAATGGACCTGTGACTGTCCTTGTGTCTGTTCCTGTGACTGTCCCTATGACTGTCCTTATGTCTGTCCCTGTGGCTGTCCCTATGACTGTCCTTATGTCTGTCCCTGTGACTGTCCCTATGACTGTCCTTATGTCTGTCCCTGTGACTGTCCCTGTGACTGTCATTTGTGACTGTCCTTATGACTGTCCGCTTTGACTGTCCTTATGTCTGTCCCTGTGACTGTCCCTATGACTGTCCTTATGTCTGTCCCTGTGACTGTCCCTGTGACTGTCGTTTGTGACTGTCCTTATGACTGTCCGCTTTGACTGTCCTTGTGTCTGTCCCTGTGACTGTCCCTATGACTGTCCTTGTGTCTGTCCCTGTGACTGTCCCTATGACTGTCCTTATGTCTGTCCCTGTGACTGTCCCTATGACTGTCTTTGTGTCTGTCCCTGTGACTGTCCCTATGACTGTCCTTGTGTCTGTCCCTGTGACTGTCGTTTGTGACTGTCCTTATGACTGTCCCTATGACTGTCCTTGTGTCTGTCCCTGTGACTGTCCCTATGACTGTCCTTGTGTCTGTCCCTGTGACTGTCCCTATGACTGTCCTTGTGTCTGTCCCTGTGACTGTCGTTTGTGACTGTCCTTATGACTGTCCCTATGACTGTCCTTGTGTCTGTCCCTGTGACTGTC